CCATCCGATCCCACGGGCACGGCCGAGAGGTTGTGGTGGCCAAGCCTAAACACAAGCGGGCCGACTACCGCCGGTGGAAGTCGTCGGCGGAGATTTCCTACGAGGAGGCCCTGCGGAGGGCGAGGAGGAACCGGCGGGAAGGTGTGGGGGTCTACTCGCAAGTCCCCCTGCCCTACGTCAGCCCGTACGCGTACGTGGCCAGCGACTCGGAGTACTCGGCGGAGTGCGAGTCCTTGTTCCACTCCACCGTGGTGAGCGGGCCGACTACCGCCGGTGGAAGTCGTCGGCGGAGATTTCCTACGAGGAGGCCCTGCGGAGGGCGAGGAGGAACCGGCGGGAAGGTGTGGGGGTCTACTCGCAAGTCCCCCTGCCCTACGTCAGCCCGTACGCGTACGTGGCCAGCGACTCGGAGTACTCGGCGGAGTGCGAGTCCTTGTTCCACTCCACCGTGGTGGACACGAGCGAGGACGAGCCGAGCAATTTAACTGCTTTGGAGACAGCGAGTCGAGCCTGAGCGAGGTGGAGTTCGTAGGGGAGAGCACGACCACCAGCGACTCTGATGAGAGCGGGGGCCTTATTTGGTCACAGTTTGTCCAGACACTCCCCATCCAAACGGTCACGGCGCCGGAGCTGCATGAAAATGCGGCGAAGGCCTTTGTCAAAATCAAAGCCTCCCATAACCTCAAGAAGAAAATCCTCCGCTTTCGGTCGGGCTCCCTGAAGCTCATGACAACCGTCTAGTGAGGTGGAATGTATCTGCTTCTGCTTTCAGAAGCAAGGTGCTTTTGTGTACATATTTCCACAGATTTTTTTTTTTCTATACAAATATTTAAAACTTAAGGTAAATTATGTCACTTGTCTTCAGAACTTGGGTGGATACTAGTGCCTTTTACGTGGAAATAAAAGACCATTATACTCGTTTAAAAAAACCCAACATAACACTGCCATTTCAGTGGTGAACAGCCTCCCATGCATGGTATCAGAAGGCTTTGAAAAAAGGCTAATGTTTCTGGGAATGGATCTTCCTTGCCTAGTTTTTCCAGTTCTGGGTCTTATACAGGATATCGCCAGCTTAAGGTCATAAGTTTTTAGGGGATAAGGGGGAGGGAGTGTGGGTGGTCTTCATGTTTTTGCTTGTCCCTTTCTGCTGCTCCTGTTGCCACATCTTGAACTTCTTCCTCCTGGTAGTCTGGCCTGTTTTTTTTTTCTTTTCTTGATGATTCTCTTCTTGAAACTCACCCCTGTCCTCCCCCAGCCTTCCCCCACCAGGAAAGGGCTCCTGTTCAATCTGTCTCCAAGGTTAAGTCGCCTTCTCTGGAGTGCACTCTGCTCCGATCTCCTGGGAGTCCCGCTGTGGACGGCAGTGGTGTTCAGAGCAAACTGTTGGAGCAGCTGACCAAGGCTTAGTAACTTCAGTATATTGTGTAAAACTGCTTTTGAAAAAGAAAAAAAACATATGCATGTCACGTGCATGAGTATCAGTAGTTTTAATATTCCTGTTGATGTCCAATTTACTGTACATCATCAATGGCTGTTTTTATATATATATCATTGTGTAAATTAATATAACACATCATATGCTGTAATAAACAGTCTGTTTTAATACTTTTTTAAAGTTTGTTACATTGGTGCAGACCCAGTGAATGGTTTTATATTGGCATTGTCACCACTTAGATGTCTCTTTGATGTGACCTGTTAATGTTCCCTGCATTTAGCCATGCAGGAAACGGAGCAAGTTTTAAATGTTGCTGTGGATGTGACTTGTGCTTTGAGGGAACTGGATTGTCATGGCTCCTCTTGTTCTTCCCATAACTTGCATTTTTTTAAGGGCAAGGTGGGATTTAGGAGCTCAGAGGCATCTTCAGGTTGTTGCTTATGGGCAGCTCCTGTTGCGGAGCAGATGGAAATGTAATATTAATCCTCCTCGCTGTCAGGGTGCTTGCAGACTTTGGTTGGTACAACACAGGGGCAGATGGTAAGTTTCTGTAATCAAATCGATCTGTGTAACGGAACAGTGTCTGTCTGAAATGTCCAGTAAATGAATCCCCAAGAGCTGTGTGCTCTGGGAGCTGGGCTGGGCGGAGGGGAGCATAGACTTTCTGTCCCTGGTGCCCTCTTTAGGTATGGTAGCTGACTGTATCACAACCCTGACAAGGTTATGGAGAGAAGTGACAATTGTGTCACCCACCGGTCTCTGTCTCAGTTTCTTTCTTCCCATAGGACTGGAGGTGAGTCTCTGCCAGCAAAGGGGAAAGGAGCTAACCGTAGACAGCACTGCTTTCCTTTGCAGCAACAGCTTTGAAGCTGCCTGGTGGGAAGGCTGGAGGTTTATGGTGCACGCATGTCTGATGGAGCAGGCCCGGAGGATGGGCTGGTTTCTGCAGGTTCATCTTCTGCTCTGGCATCCGTGAAGTGGTGGACATACAACTGGCGTGGATGCTGTGACGGGTACGAATTTCAAGGATATGTGTGCAGCCTGTCCGTTCCGTAGCGAGATGTGCTGAGCAGATACCTTCTTTTGTAGTTCCTCTGTGTCCTTCCCACTGTCACCCACCTGAAAGGCAGAGCGGTTTTTTTCTCAGGTTTCCTTGCATTGCAAATGCAGGAAGGAAAGGCCCACCCAGAATTAAATGTCTCTGGGAGCAGCTTCTGAGACAGTGGTAACACTTTTTCTAAGTGACAGATTTTGTGTTTTAATCTGCGGTGTTGTGGATTCCTACCTATAAAATGGCTCTTTCATATTATTTTTTTCCTTTTTTTAATAGAGCAAAGTCTGTTTCTGTAAGGGGTCTCACAGTATGGTCACAAGGTTCTGGATTCAGTGACCCAGAAAGTCCTTGCATTTCCATCTTCCATGATACAGGAAAAGCTGTAACTCACCTTAGCTGGCCTCAACTCTCCCATTGCTTTACACATGGAAGGACAGATTGTGTGTATATATATATGTGTATAAAAATTTTATATATTGATATAGAACAATTCATCCAGAAATTACTGGACAATGGCAGACACTGCAGAGAGGGGAGAGAAGAAATGTTTCTTACTAAAGATGGCATTACTGTGGCTAAGCAGCAGCTTAATACGTTCCCGTTAATAACTGATGTGTGTTATATCAAACAAAAGGAATGTCAAGAAGCTTGTTGAAGCCGGTAGTTTCTTTCCTAGAATATCTCTTAATCATGCCACATAATCTCTCTTTGAGCGAGAAAAACGCGTGCAAATCCCTGTAAATCTCCTCAAAGGAGTAGCAGAGTAGCAGAGAGGGTCTTCAGACGCGCACTCTGTCTCTCTGGCTGTAGAGGAGCCGCTGGTGGGAAGAAAAACCAACCAGTGGCTTTGGGATGATGAGTTTTTAATTGCAGTGCTATAGCAGATTGTCTTGTACCAGGTGAGGGAGGCTGGTTTTCAAAAGTGAGCTGCTGAATAGTTTCTTTTGAGATAACTGAGTGAAAAAAAAAAAGAAAATATCACTAAGACTGTATCAGCTGCAACCACTGTATTCTGCAGTACTCCCGTTGAATAGCTTAATACCAGACGGGGAAACAGGCTGATGCTGTCTCCATCTTAATTGCATCCGAGTCTTTTCAGTTTGGGGAAGGAATTTTCCTTTTCTTACATGATTTAGGTAAGCATCCAGAATCCTTTAAACAGGCCTATTTTTTTCTCTCTACATCCCCTGCCCCCCTTTCTTTTTTTTTTCAAATAAAAGATCTTACAGTGCTGGAAAAGTACTTGATATGGTCCCAAAACACAGCACGCATTCTCTTCTCTGGTTCTGATTTAGGAAACACATCTAAGCTAGTAAGTTTTTGCAACGTTAGTTTGAAAAACATCTGCTGATCTTGGAGACCAGTTAAATATCTGGCACTTCTTTAAGCTACCTGGCTTTCCAACTCCACAGCCTTGAGTCCTTGCCAATGTATTTTTCATAATGTTCGCGTTTTAATTATCCCCAGTGTTTATGGTAGTCTTTGAAAGTTTGAAGCAGGAACATTTCTCGTCGTTGCGCTGGGGCCTATTTCAAGGTGGGGGCAGGTTGTGGTGGGGAGATTTGGGATTAGCTACCCCTGTGCTCCATATGTAACTGAGTGCAGGGAAGTACAGAAGCATATGCTTAACATAAAGAACAAGAGCAGACCCCTCCCACCGGATTCCTTGCGATTCAGGTTATATAGTGTCGCTGCACATCTCTAAAGTACCGTCTCTCCCAGTGCAGGAATCGGCATCGCGCACACTATGAGGCGCTGTCATTTGGAAGGGAATGAGGGTGTCACTGGGCTGTCTGCCTTCCAGCAGGCTTTTTGGGTCTGTCTTCTGCTCCCTAACCCCAGCCACCAGCCGTGGGGTCAGCGGATCACGGAACAAGCTGTGTCTGGTGTGTGCGGGGTCAGGGAGAGGCCCTGGCATTGCGCCTAGACGTCCCAACTGTGTGGGGCCCCTGTTGTGGATAATCACGCTTGTCGTGCGAAATTCGATGTGGTGCAAGGATTTGCACAGCTGGGTCTGAAGGAAGGTGGCAATGGAGAGCTCCATAAATGGAGTGGTCTGATCCTGATTCATCTGTATTTCCAGGAGAGGCTGAAAGAGGAGGTGTTTCAGTCTGATGCCTAGCTCAGTAAGTTGGACTGGGCTAAAGAGAGTCATCTGAGGGACTCTGCCTCCTTTCCTCCAGTACTCTTTAAATGAGCAAGGGCACTATCAGCACTGCCTGTTGCTGAGGTGCTTTAACCATCTGGCCAAGTCCTGCAGGGCCTTATTGGGACAAGTGATAAGCTCCTGTCCCCCAGGTCTGATTTTGGCCTTCCATAGCACAGCTCCTGCTTGCAGAGAGCCTGTAAGTCCCAGCTCTTTGTAGCTTCACCTGTCCTGGGGCTTCAGAAGGAATCTCTCCATCCCTTGCAAGTTTTCTAGTTTTCTTCTGGCTTGGGGTTCGTCCTGGTTAAGGACTGACAACAGATTCCCCACAACAGAGTCCTGTGCCTTCACTAATCCCAAATCTATCTGTTTGTTGGCTCTGAGAAAGGTCAGGCGCTCCTCAGGTGGAAGCCAGCGAAGCCACCCCTGAGGGACCTGCATCCTTTTCTGCCACAAAGGGCAGCAAAGGCTTTTATTAGCTGTGATGGCCACTCGGCAGATGACTCGCCACGCTGGGCACGGCTCTCCCTCAACATGTGATTTTTCTCACAGGAGGGAACAAGGACATGAACATTTTGAGGAAGCTGAGACAGCTAAAGACATATTTAATAGCTAACTTCAGCAAATAGTATGTACCTTTGGAGTAGCCAACAATAATACACACAACTGAGCTGCTAGTACAAAAAACGGAACCATTCCCAACTCTTTGCAATGTCCTGTGCACAGTGCAGAGAGGATTCAGAGACTGCAAACCGACGGAGACAATTCATAAACCCCAGGTCTATCTTTCAAACTTGCTTTTCTCCTGAATTTCTCTGAAACTCCAAGGAATTGTTTGGCATGAAGTTTCTTTCTCTAACAAAACGTTATAGATGCAGCACTGTGGTGAGAAACAATTGCTCTGGGATTTAAAAAATCCCACAATGCTGGAATGAGGGGAGACGTATGGAAACAAGTGGGAGATCCATTTAAAAAGGATAATAGAAAGTGCTTTTTTGCACAGCAGGGAATTTGCTGCCACAGGAAATAGCGAGGCAGATCTAGTATTAGCAAGTTCAAAGGAGTTAGAGAAGGTAGGGAAGGATGTGTGCTCTACCATCCCCAGTCAATGACTGTGGATGCTAGGAGGAGTATGAGGTGAATGGACTGCAAATAGTGGCCAGGCTTGTGTGCTCCCCCTCAAGGTTGTCTTTTCCTGCAACTGCTGAAGCACCGTTAGCTGGAGGAGATGCACCATCCTGCTGACCCAGCAGACCATCTCCTGTATTCCTATGGTCTTGGTGTAGCTGATGGTAGTTGTCTATGCAATTGAATTTCCTCAGTCTTTATTAGTCTTTTGTCCTCCCAACTGCTGCTGAAGACGAGTTTTGCATTGCTTTGCGAAGAAGTTCACTTTGCACGCTTTGGTGGCATGTATTTATTCAAACTATGGACATGTGTTTCTGGTCATTCTTGTCCTATGGCAGAGTAATTTCATCCATCCTTTCACACGGGCAGTCTGTGCCGAAGTCCTCTGTTACGGTGAACATCGTCCCCCTGTAATGCAAACACTGTTATGGACATAGTCCATATAGTAGCCTACTGTGGGAGTCACTGTTGGGCAGCAATTTTACGTCCTACAGTTGCTTCTAAACTGTAGAAAAAGTTGATGACCAAAATGAACCATCCTAGTGACAGAGCACTGGGCATCTACTGCACCCTGCCTTGGGATTGCTGTTCTTGGAGAGTTTTTCTCTCCCTCTGTCTACATTCGTGCTTTTGTTTGGAGCAACAGAACAGTCCGGAAGCGAATCCCATGGTCGTCTCCACTTACTGCGTGTTGGTTAGGACAGGAGAGCAGTTTTGGTGCACGCTAGCTAGATGCCTTT